GGACATGAGATTAGAGTTCATTTCTTAGGTTGGGAAGATCCCCTGGAGGAGGGCATGGCAGCCCATTCCAGCATTTTTGCCTGGAGAATCCCACGGACAGAGGAGCCTGGTGCGCTACAGACCATGGGAGTCGCAGAGAGTCAGATATGACTGAGCGACTTAGCACACACACAGGGAGGTGGGTGAGAAGGGTGTGGTGTGCTGTTTTTGATAGGATGGTCAGCAGAGGGCTCCCTGAGAAGGTGACATTTAAATAAAGACTTGAGGTGAGGGAGGCAGCCACGCGGACATCCAGAGGAAGAGCGATCCAGGCCGAGGGAACAGCCAGTGTAAAGGCCCTGAGCCATGAGTGCATCTGGGTTGTGCAAGGATTGCAAGAGGCTGGTGTGGCTGGTGCTGCGCGACCATGGGGAGGGGACAAGGCAGACTGTTGGAGTCTTGAGGCCAAGGGATGAAGGCTTCGGCTCTTACCACAGGATGTGGTAAAGCCGCAGGAAGATTCTGAGTAGGAGAGTGATGTGATCTGACTCAGGTGGTCACAGGATCCTTGGGGCTGCCTGGGAGAATCAGGTTGGAGGGCTGGCGGGGCAGGGCGGGGGTGGGCAGGGGAGGAACAGGGAAGCCAGCAAGGAGGTCCTGATGTTAGTCTCCTGTGTTAGTCGCTCAGTTGTGTCCGATTTTTTTGCGACCCCACGGGCTGTCACCCGTCAGGTTCCTCTGTCCATGGAATTCTCCATGCAAGAATACTGGAGTAGGTTGCCACTTCCTTCTCCATTTTCTTTTACAGTAGCCTAGGTGGGGGATGAAGGAAGACAGGACCAGGGTGGGGGCTGAGAATGGGACGCAGAGTGAGCAGAACAGAAAGTGGGTGGGGTCAGGAAGATTTGCTGATGGACAAGGCATGGGGGAGAGAGAAAGAGACAGAGGTGAACCCCCAGGGGCAGACGTTCTAGTGGAGAGAAACGAGATCGAGACCAGCACACAAACCAGAAACACGGGCTGGAGGAGACAGGGACATAGATTCAGAGCTGCAGCAGCAGGCAGTCACGTGGCATATGCAGAAGGACCCCACTGAGAGACGCCAGGGGAGGCTCATACGGGCTGCCCCTGCCCACCTGCCTCCCTCCTCCCGCCAGGTGATCGACTTCGGCTCTGCCAGCATATTCAGCGAGGTGCGTTACGTCAAGGAACCCTACATCCAGTCCCGCTTCTACCGGGCCCCCGAGATTCTGCTGGGGCTGCCCTTCTGCGAGAAGGTGGACATGTGGTCCCTGGGCTGCATCATGGCTGAGCTGCACCTGGGCTGGCCCCTCTACCCAGGCAACAACGAGTACGACCAGGTGCGTTACATCTGTGAGACGCAGGGCCTGCCCAAGCCCCACCTGCTGCATGCCGCCCGCAAGGCCCACCACTTCTTCAAGCGCAACCCGCACCCCGACGCCGCCAACCCCTGGCAGCTGAAGTCCTCGGCTGACTACCTGGCTGAGACCAAGGTAGGGGGGGCAGGTGGGGATGAGGGCAGTCAGTGTGGAGGGGGGGCTGCTGCACCCAGAAGGAAAAAAAATCTAGGTTAGATCTCAGAGAGGACTGGAAGCTTGGGAGTTGTTACAGCAAGATGGATCTGAGTGAGACCCCGGGTGGGACTGGAAGTCAGGGCAGCCACCTCTGCAGCCAGGCTCTTCAGAGTTGTGAGGCAACAGTCTGGATGAGACAGCAGAGAGGACTGGAAGTCTGGGCCAGGCGTGGGAGCTGTCACAGCAAGAGAGGGGCCTGGGTGAGACCAAAGTTGGGACTGAAGTACCCGGCAGACCTTAATAACCCCTGGAAGAATGGTCTGGGCTTGACTCATTGGAGGCCTGAGGGCTGGGATCAGACGTGGGGATCAGCTGTGGCAGCCAGAGGGGTCAGCATTTGATTCCAAAGGAGGCAGCCCTTCTGCTCGCTGCTGGCAGGAGCTGCACCCATGACTCAGGGAAGGACTGGAGGGCTGGGGTGAGAGCCAGCTCGGGTCAGTGAGAGTCCTGGGTTAAACAGGAGGACCAGAGGTCATGGTCAGCAGGCGGGATCTGGATGAGATTAGAAGGGGCCTCATGGTAGGGAGCAGGTGTGACCTTCCCAGCAGTAAAGAGCACCAGGTCAGATCCCGGGCAGGACTGGAAGTCAGGGTTCCCTTGTGCAGACTTCATAGCCACGAGGGAGCTCTGGGCCAGACTGGAAACTAGGGTGGGGGGTCTGATGTGGGCCCCGCAGCAGGAGTGGCTGGGGCCGGAACTCCATGCCCACCCTGCCCCACCCTGTGTCCACCAGGTGCGCCCACTGGAGCGCCGTAAGTACATGCTTAAGTCGCTGGACCAGATTGAGACGGTGAACGGTGTCGGGGTGGCCAGTCGGCTGACCTTCCCGGACCGCGAGGTGCTGGCAGAACACACCGATCTCAAGAGCATGGTGGAGCTGATCAAGCGCATGCTGACCTGGGAGTCGCACGAACGGATCAGCCCCAGCGCCGCCCTGTGCCACCCCTTCGTGTCCATGCAGCAGCTGCGCAGTGCCCACGAGACCACCCGCTATTACCAGCTCTCTCTGCGCAGCTGCCGCTTGTCCCTGCAGGTGGAGGGAAAGGCACCCACGTCGGTCTTGGCCGCCGCGGAAGATGGGCCCCCCTACTACCGTCTGGCCGAGGAGGAGGTGGCCATGGGCCTGGGCAGCACAGGGGGCAGCGGGCCCTTCTTCCGAGAGGAGAAGGCCCCCGGCATGCAGAGGGCCATCGATCAGCTGGACGACCTGAGCCTGCAGGAGGCAGGGCGTGGGCTCTGGGGCGAGACCCGGGCCGACGTGATCCCTGACGCGCTGGCCCCGCTCAAGGCTGCCGCCGTGGGCCGCCGGCTGCCCGAGTCCAGCCCCGAGCCCATCCTGGCCTTCTACGGCAGCCGCCTGGTGGGCCGCCACAAGATCCGCAAACCACCTGCAGGCTCCAAGTCTGACTCCAACTTCAGCAACCTGATCCGGCTGAGCCAGGCCTCACCTGAGGATGACACCCCACGCAGGGCCAGCGGCTGGGCGGAAGGAGAGCGCCTTGGGGCCTCTGCCGAGCCGCCTGTCATCCCGCAGCGCGACGGGGATGGGCCAGACATCAAAGACATGACCATGGATGCTGAGGTGAGCTGGGGGGTGGGTGGGGGGCGGCCAGGGTGCAGGTGGTCCTGGGGTTGGGGCACAGGGAAATAGCCTGGCCTCCCACACATCTGAGTGGCCTGTAGTTGGCTCAGGATCCAGCACACACTACTAGCCCACCCTCGGGATGTGATGAGGCTCAGCAAACACTAAGACACTCATGTGACAAGGTTCAGCAAACACGAACCCATATTCAGGCCGTGTAAAGACTCAGAACATCATAATCCACATGTGGGAACTGATAAAGGCCCAGGACCCTGAACAAGACCGTAGTGCAGCTCACCCACCCGCAGAAAGATGGAACAGAGGCTCAGCAAACACTCCTTCAGGACACATTAAGGTCTCAGCAAACACTCCTTCAGGACACATTAAGGTCTCAGCACACACCATTTAAGCCTCCAAAATGTCGAGAGGGTTCAGAATGTACAAAATTGTCCTCAGGAAGTTACAAGGAAGCAGTTGGGACCAAAGGAGTCCACGAGCGGGCAGGCTGGCTGTTTCCAGGGCGGAGGTGGGACATGGGAGGGGGCTTCCTGGGTGATGCCCATCTCTGCTCCTCCCCGACAGAGTCCAGGCCCTGAGCTCTTCGACCCCAACAGCTGTCCTGGGGAATGGCTGAGTGAGCCAGACTGGACCCTGGAGGGCCTCAGGGGGCCGCGGGCTCAGGGGCTCCCCCCACGCCACACCCACCCACATGGTCCACCCCGGGCCACCAGCTTTCTGCAGCACGTTGGCGGGCACCACTGATGGGTGACCCCACCCCTGCCCATCACTGGGGGCTGCGCTGATGGGGCTGGCAACCCCCTCCTCACAGCCATCCCCTGAACTGACAGATTATTCTTACAGAAAGATAGTTATCCAGAAATTCCCCATTCCCTCCCCCGCTGCCCACGGTGCATGTCTGCATACACACCCCAAATAGAAGGGTTTCGGGAACACACCCCGAACAGAAGGGTTTGTGGCCCCCTGGGCCAGAGGGATGCAAGAAGGGGGGGGCTGCACCCCACTGGCCCTGAGCACGCCCTTGGCCCTGCTGCCTCTGTTTATTTCAATAAAGAACTGTTCAGCAGTACCGCCCCATGCCTGTGCTCCTTGCCTGAGGCCTGAACTGGCATGGGGGGCAAGGTGCAGGGGACCCAGGCTCTGCTCTCCAGTGCTGCACCCAGTCCACCCACACCACCTGAGCTGCAGGCTCAGACTGCAGCCTGCGCTTGGCACACTGCCCCCTCCCTTAAACACACTCGGCACCTGGCATGCAAGAATTCACCATCAGAACATGCTCAGCGTTCAGTAGGTGCCGATCTGAGCTGGCCAGATGCTCAGTTCTCATTGTCTGTTGACCTGTCCTTGCCACAGGTGACAGGCTTGGCATGCACGTATCCATGCTCGGGACATGCAAAATATAAAGTTCACGCTCGGTATCCAGGCCAGTGTCCAGACGTGCGAGTCCACCCTCAGGGATAGGGCAGTGGCTTGGCGCGTGCTCATGTGGCTCGGGTCACGCTGAGTGTGCAGCACACGTGGCCCCATGCTGGCTCCAGGAGGCTCTGTTCATGCCTGCCCACGAGGTCACACACCCATGCTCAGCACACACCAGCTCGCGTGCATCATACACCGAGTGTTCAGCACACGGTGGCCCATGCTGGTCACCCACTGAGGGCTCAGCACACCCCAGACACGTGCTGAGCATCCAGTGCACACCAAACCACACTGGCCACATGCCGAGGGCCCAGGACCCACAAAGATGTCCCCCCAGAGGCTCATGCCAGCTGCCCCTACCCGACACCCCACCTCACACCACTCAGTCAGGCACAGGCTGTACAGACAAGTTATTTACTTCTTATTATGACCTTGGGCCCTCTTTGCCCTGGGAAGTGGGGTGGGCCAGGGGGGCTGGGCCCAGCATGCACCCCCACTTCTCCTTTGGGGGCTGAGCCCTCCTGCAGCTCAGCTGGGTCCTCTGGGGCCACAGCATTAGGCCAGTGGGGGTGGAGGTAGAGATGGGAGGCCGGGGTGGGGGTGGTTGCGAAGGGGAGCCTGTTGGAGCCACAACGGGTCAGACAGAAGCGGGGGGGCACAGGGACAGGGGATGGAGACCCGGAACACCTGAGCCTGCAGGGGCCTTGCAGGCCTGGCCTGGCCATCGGACCGGGCCTCAGAGCAGGCGACAGGCGTTGCCCACGCTGTCGGCGGCAGCGTCAAGGTCATGGCTGTAAGGGGAGTCCCAGTCCCTCAGGAACACGGCCTCCAGCTGGCTCCGCAGGCCACCCCGCCCGTTCTGCGTCACCAGCAGCGAGGTGCCCGCCGTCTCGGTGAAGTAGCTACCGGACCAGTTGGAGGTTCCTATGGGGAGTGGGGGGTCCAGAGAGTCAGGGCCCAGGGCAGCACCTGGACCCCCTTCCAACCCCTTCACCCTGCCCCCTGATCATGGTGCTCCTGGAACACTCACCGATGTAGGTGGCCCGTTCGGTCACCATGTACTTGTTGTGGTTGACGCGGGCATAAGGGATTCGGGCCTGGGCATCGTCCGCGGGGACCACAAAGAGTTTCTGAGAGGGGTGGGGAGATGCAGGGTGAGGACAGGGAAGCCCCTGGGTTGGGGTTGGGGAGTGGAACCAGGTCTTCGAGACTGGGGACCCTGGGGATCAGAACAGGGCCCAGAGAAGTGCACGTGTGCATGCGAAGTCATTTCAGTTGTGTCCAACTCTTTGCAACCCTATGGACCATAGCCCACCAGGCTCCTCTGTCCTTGGGATTCTCTAGGCAAGAATACTAGAGTAGGTTGCCATGCCCTCCTCCAGGGCATCTTCCCAACCCAGAGATCGAACCCATGTCTCTTATGTCTCCTGCATTGGCAGATGGGTTCTTTACCACTAGCACAGTATGCAAAGCCCTTCAGAGGAGTGGGTCCTCTAAAGACTGGCTCACACGCCACCTGTTCCCTCTAGTGTTAAAAGTGTTAGTCACTCAGTTGTGTGTGACTCTTTGCAACCCCATGAACTGTTGCCCACCAGGCTCCTCTGTCCATGGAATATTCCAGGCAAGAATACTGGAGTGAAAAAAAAAGATACTGGAGTGGGTTGCCATTTCCTCCTCCAGGGGAATCTTTCTGACCCAGGGATCAAATTGGGTCTCTTGCACTCCAGGCAGATTATTCACCATCATTCCTGAGGTCTTACCTCAGATGTCCCCCTTTCCTGAAAGTCTTCTGTGACCCTTCAGGCTGTAGCAGGAGCTTCCTCAGGGCTCCCTCATCCTGGCCCTGACCCCTCTGCCCACGCCCTTGATTCCAACCCTGACCTGTGGTCACCCCTCCTCCGCCTCAATCAGGGCACAGCCCGCTCTGGGTCATCCATCAGATGACAGGTGAGCACCACAGGAGGTGTGTCCCCGCACTGCCCTGCACAGGAGTTGAGGGGCGGGTCTGGGCAGGTGCTTACCACCTGGATGTCGGAGTGGGTATGATTGTCACGCAGGGCAGCCAGGGAGAGCAGGAAGGCCCGCATCGAGGGGTCAGAGTGTCCCCAGCAGCTGATCAGCAGGCGTACCTTGACGCCCCGCTCATAGGCAGCCCGCCGCAGCCCGTCGTCAATGGCAGGCCAGAACCTGGGGGTGGGGGGTGCAGGATATGGAGGGAGGCCTCCCCTCACCTTTAGGGCGCCAGGCCTGGGTCCCGCTGCAGTTTCAGAGAGCCCCCATTTCCCAAGACCACCACATCTCTGGCTCCCGCTCCTGCCCACCCCCACCCAATCCACACATTGTCTTGTCTGCGGCCCCCAGACTACCTGCTCTGAGCACCCAGATCCAATCATCCCCCCTTCCTATCCAAGATCTCAAACCCCAACTGTGCCACCCCAAACCTGAATATGCTCAGTCCCATCTCTCAAGCCCCTCACCCCATATCCCGCCCACACTCCCTGCTTCCTACCCCCAGAAACCCCACATCCTCTGCCTCAAGCCTCCAGTCCCCCCATCTCCATACTCCTTTCCCAATATTCACTTCCTTTTCTCTGTCCCCCTTCCCTTGTCTCGAGCATCCAGACCACTCTCCCTGTCACCTCTGTCTTGCCCGGTGGCGTCCCCTCCCTCTGTCCCCTGGCCTTGGCCCCCTGCCTGCTTTCTGGGCCCCATCATTCCCTCTCCCGTCTCCTCTTTTACTCGAGTGGCTTCCGGCCCTGAGCCCTGTCCACGTGCCCAGCAGTACCGGCGTGGGTGGGAGAACTCCATGGTGGGCAGGTAGTTCATGACCGCGATGTAGATGAAACTCCGGGCGTTGTCCACCACGTTGAGCAGGGCCTTCAAGTCTGGGGTGCGGCCACTTGGACACAGCGGTGGGGGTGCACTCTGGGGGGAGAAGGGGAGAGTCAAGACACGTCCTTCACAGTGGCCCCCAGCTGCGGACAGCCCGTCAGGAGTCAGGTCCCTGTGTATCTCACTGAATGCTCAGCCTCTGTGAAGGGGAGAGAGAATGACTACGTCCCAGCTCACAGGTGAGCAAATAGATGCTCAGAGAGGATAAGTGATTTGCCTAAGGTCACAGAGCTGAGGAACAGAGCCAGGGTTTGAACCTAGGCAGTGTGGTTCTAGAATTTAAGCTCTAACCCCGTGGTTCTTGACATGAGGTGCCTGGTCAGGCAGCAGCAGCAGCATCACCTGGCAACTTGGTAGAAATGCAAATTCCTGGGCCTCACGGCACAGGGCACACAGCATCAAGCTGTTAGGATGGAGCCCAGGGATCTGGTTTTAACAAGCCCTTCTGGTAATTCTAGTGCATGCTCAGGCTTGAGGACCTCTGCTTTAATCGCTTAAAATTTTTTTTTATTAGCGTATAGTTGCTTTACACTGTTGTACCAGTTTCTTTTGCTGCTGCTGCTGCGGCTGTTTAGTTGCTAAGTCGTGTCCAACTCTTTTTGTGATCCCATGGACTGTAGCCTGCCAGGCTCTTCTGTCCATGGAGATTCTCCAGGCAAGAGGACTGGAGTGGGTTGCCATGCCCTCCTCCAGGAGATCTTCCCAACCCAGGGATGGAAACTGCATCTCCTGCATTGGCAGGTAGATTCTTTACCAGCTGAAGCACCAGTGAAGCCCTCTAATCACTTTTGTCCCTGACTGGCTCACAGCCCACCTCCATGGCATTCCTCATGTTCCCACCCACCCCAGGAGCTTCACCCAGCTCCCTCTATCCTCCCAACAGGTGAGCAAATTTAAGTTCTGAAAGGGGAAGCGGTGACGAGGGAAACTTTACTCCCCAGTGGGAGGTCACTGGAGCAAAGGACCCCAGTGAGTTATGTCCCTTCATCCATGCCTTAGTGTGGCACTTCATGATGACGCTGGGCCTGGCCAGGTGACTTGCTTGGGGGGGTCCCAGGTTGGCCACCCCAACTAGTGAAAACATCAACAGCTGAAAACAGCAGTGCCTTGTCGGGAGTGGGTACAGTCCAACAGAACATTCCACAGAGATGAAAATGTTCTGTATCTACACTGTTCAATATGGCAACCACTTGCTAGGTGTGGCTGCTGAGCCCTTGAAAGGGGGCTAGTGTGACTGAAGAACTGACTTTTTAACTGCATTTCATCTTAATTGATTAAAAATGTGACATTCGGCCATAGTGGACAGTTCAACCAGGGACTGGCCTCAATGAACCCAGCCGTGCCGCCTCATTAGCCCTGCTGCAGCTGCTGCTAAGTCGCTTCAGTCGTGTCCGACTCTGTGCGACCCCATAGACGGGGACCCACCAGGCTTCCCCATCCCTGGGATTCTTCAGGTAAGAATACTGGAGTGGATTGCCATTTCCTTCTCCAATGCATTAGCTCTAAGAGATTGCAAATATTATGATGCAATCATAAGATTTCTAGATGAAACCAAAGCCTAGGGAGGTTGGGACATGGCCCAGGCCCCTGAGTGAGCAGAAGTGACAGCTAGTGGTCAGGATTCCCTCATCCCCATCAAATCACTGGGTAGGGGTGGATGGAGGAGGCCCAGGGAGGGCATGTGGCAGGCCCCTCTTTCCTTGGACTCACCGCCAGGTAGGCCAGAGCAGGGGTTCCATTGAGGCAGATTTCCATTGGAGTCTCTTGATTGTAGCGGGTGTCATAAGGCCGGGGCCAGGTTGATGGGATGGAGCTGCCTGCCTGGCCCAGGAACCAGTAGGCTTCGAAGATCTTGGTCAGGTCTCGAGCTAGGCAGCTGCAGTTGTACATGACCACGCCCAGCTCCTTGACCTGCGGGAGCACAGTGCTGAGCCCCAGGGTGGTGGCCTGGTGCCAGCAGGTGACATGGACCCCTGCAGCCCCTCCTCCTGCCTCCAAGTCCTCCTTCCTGCCCTTTGCCCTTCTGTCTCCCTCTCTTTCTGCCCCTACCTCCCCTCTTTCTGCCCCTTAGCCCCAGTCCTCCTTCCCCCAGCTAAAGCCCTGAGATGGACATGATCTTGACTCAAGACTAAAATCTGAAGTTTTGGCGAAAGTCAGTTACTCCAAAGCTCCGGTTTCCTGAACCTTTGCGGTTTCTACCTTCTACTGAGCTCCTGCTCAGTCTTAGGTCTCCACTGAGGGTTTCCTCCTCCAGGAATCCTGCCTTGACTGCCCAGCCTGTGTCAAGCATTTCTTAGGCTCTCAAGGTCCCTTGGGCCTCCCTCATCACTTTCCCTGGTGACAAACCTGTCTCCCCATTGGACTGGGAGGACTTGCATGAGGGATGTCTGTGTTTTTCCACAGAGTCGGTGGGATTAGGGGCTTCAGCCTAGTCACTCAGTTGTGTCCAACTCTTTGCAACCCCATGGACTGTAGCCCACCAGGCTCCTCTATCCATGGGGACTCTCCAGGCAAGTGGGTTGCCATGTCCTCCTCCAGGGGATCTTCCCAACACAGGAATCGAACCTCGGTCTCCTGCATTGCAGGCAGATTCTTTACTGACTTAGCCACCAGGGAAGCCCAAGAATACTGGTGTTTGGAGCCTCTCCCTTCTCCAGGGGATCTTTCCAACTCAGGAATCGAACCGGGGTCTCCTGCATTGCAGGCAGATTCTTTACCAGCTGAGCTACCAGTGAAGCCCAATTAGGGGTTTGCACAATATCTATTTGTTGAAGACATGATCACTGCCTCAGCTGTACCCCTTTCCCATCTCATGCTCATTCCTGCAGCTCCT